ATGCTCTGGCACTATTCACTCAAAAAAACCCAACCAAAAGCAACCAAAAACAAACCACAAAATCAGAAAAAGGGAAAAAAGCAGCTTTTACTGCCTATTGCATTCAGACAGAACAGGTTCTCAACTTAGTTCATAGAATTGCTGCTGGACCTCACTCAGTGACAGTGAGCTCAAAGTGTGTGGAGCAGAACAGGACCCAGAGGCCAGGAGTCCCCTTGCCCAGGAGGTAAAAGTCATCTTTCCTCTTAACCTGGCCATCCATTGCCAGCAGCAGTCCCTGTTCCTCCAGCTGTATTTCGAAGGCAGATGGTGAACACTACTGTGCCCTGGGGGAAGAGACAGCGGCTGCTGACTTCAGAGGTAGTGTCTGAGAGGATGGAAGGACCTTCCATCAGTACCTCCAATATATCCTCTTTCTATTGCTTTACTCACATATTAAATACCAAGATTCACATACACGATTCTGGCCAAGGTTGCCAGAAGCTACATAGTGTAACCTAATCCACCAATACCATGAGCACTTACCAGAGCCGATGCAGTTGACCAACAAACACATTCAATCACATGAATTTTGTATAAATTAAAGCACATTCTAAAACCAAATTGAAGGCAATTGGAGTTGACATGCTTTACACATGTTGTAGAATGAGAAAAATTATTCTTTTATTATTAAGCAAACCCCTTGGTCTCAGTGGTGACAGATCCCTGAGGAACTATCCATTCCCATGATTGCCTAGCAGAGGGAATGATCAACTTAAAAAAAGCTGTTTTAGTGGGAGCCAAAATGCCAAAAAACACAGGAACTAAGCTTCAGGGCTACACAGTTAGTTTTAGTGCAAAGCATTATTATATAGTGATTCTTAATATAACTTTTCTTATTTAAATGTTAAGGGTGATGATGGTTAAATATCAAAACAGCAGGTGAAGACAAAGCCAGGTAACGTCCTGAAACATTACAGTCAGAAACAGAACTTCAAAGACTGAAAAGTTAACAGGAAGTCTCGCTTCAAGGGAGAACACATTAAAGACTTGTCATAACCCAGGCAATCCTTTGCACTATTTTCATTGCTGAAAAACAGTTTAGTCTTCAAGTGACAACAGTCTTGTTGAAGTAAATACATGTAACTGCTCCTATGAGAAGATCAGAATCCAAGCCCTCACTTTGCTGTGCAGAAAGCCATAAGCAGCTCCTGATTCACAGGATTAGCTCTGGAGATTAACTCTTTATACTTAAAAAAAAAAAGTGGTTAAGTCCTCATAGGCTTCAAACATGACCAAGTCACTGCATGAGTTGGTAAAACAACAGGACAAGCCAATAACCCAGCAGCAATCCAACTGCAAACAGGCAGATCAAGAAACTTGGCAAGCATAGGGAACATTCTGCATGCATGCCAAAGAACTCAATTCTGAAATTATTTCTGTATATTAATGAATGAAACGGGTGTAGAATGCTTTACCACAAAAAAAAAAGTTATTTACATTATACATTGTCAATCATACAAGATTGCAAATAACAAAATTGCAAAGTTTACAGCATTGGTAAGAAAAATTATGCGACCTGGAATGAAGTTATTGCAATGCACTTCTGCAATGAAATGCAAGAAAACCTCGATGAACAGCAAAACTTCATGAACTAAACAGCATTGTGGTTTTCAAGTTTGTACTTTATTTATTTACAAAGTTAAATGTTTCATAAATACGCAGACACAAATAGACAGATACTCTTAAAATGGTAAAAAAATATTCCATTACGCTTTGTGGATCCTGGTTTCCAATGAACCCAAGCAATGCTAAATATTGCTGTAGTAGATTTTATACTTCACTGCTAATTTTACACTAAACAAACACTGCAAAAGGGAAAACAGACCTTTAAGACACAAGAGGAAAAAAGTAATTCCTGTCTTTTCCATAACGCCTACATTTCCAGAAAACCATGGACCTGATCCTTCAACCGTACACATTTACTTTTACTGTCATAAGTAAATCTCATCGATTTTAATAGAAAAGAATTGACATTAAGAAAGGCAAATAAGTATACACATATATTCTTGACTGAGGAAAAACTTTGCCCTTAACATGGTATTTACTTCAGTAAACACAGTATTGCTCCTAACCAGAGGTTTTGCTTACACAAGGGAAAAATGTTACAGAACAAAAAAACACACATTAAACATTTTAACTAATACAGTAAAACTTTATTCAAATGATAAATTTACACAGACTTCCGTTATTAAAAACATCAGCTTGTTGTAACTAAATGAGTTTGAACTCAGTTGCATGTCCTGTATTCCAGCTCCTTGAAGCAGAGTGAGCTACCAGCCCTCAGGAGGCAGGATCCTGTCTCATTTAAAGTCAATGGGAAGTTTGCCATCGGTTTCAGAGGAGAAGAATGTTTTGGAGTCAGCTTCCTCCCCCTCTCCCCTTTTTAAAAAAAATAAGCCAGACCAGAGAGAAATCTTCTCCATTCTTAAGAAATGTGACTAAAAACCAAAAAGTAAATAAGCATACAGGATTTACTCTCAAATCTCTTGCAACAACTGGCTTCCACCAGGAACTAAGAATTTTATCGTCTTCCTCTTCTATATTCACCCCTAAACCCCTTTTGTTTCATTACTTATGAACAAAATCACATGCATGAATTTCATTACGATTGGGAAGTACGTACCAGAGCAGTTTAATTCGCTGAGCAATGCATGCAGTAGCACTGACCATGTTTGGTTCAGATCACTGCACACTTGGCTCTCATACTCTCCTTTCTGAGTCAGAGCTGCCCTTGCCTGGGTGTCACTTCCCTTGACCTGTACGAAATACCATTTTGGCCCTCTTTATTTCATTCCATAAAGGATTTTATCTAGGGATGCATGCCTTTCAAGTGTGAAAATTGCTGGCCTCCAGAAGGGTTCTGCATTTCATACTGGGGAAGTTACAGAAGCATGAGGGGAATGCTATCTAATCCTGTTTAGGTGCATGAACATGTTGCCAGATGACCCAAATGTCCAGTTCCTAAGGCTGTATTTTTGTGTTGGCAGATAGAACTCCCCTTCAAGGCGAAAAATGAGGCATATGCCAGTAGGAAAAATAATGTGATTTATGAGAAGCAATACCGCATTATGTTACACCAGGTCCTAGTCAGATCCCTGCCAGCCACAGCAAGGAGCTCAAGTAACTTGATTCACTACTGAATTTTGGTATCTAAACTGAAGACAGCATTATTGTGGTTGCTGTATTTTTTAAATTGTTTTCTCAGTGAGAAAAATTGGTTTGTTACCAACATAATTCTGATATAAGAGCAAAACCATAAATCAGCTGCTTGCAAAAGGTTTCAGACCATGACAGAAGCACTCTGAGTATTTAATGGATTTTTATTTCTGGACACCTATCTAGTTCATGTAAGACGTTATTAAGGAGCCTCCACAGTACCGTTCTGTAGGAAATAAGCTCCCTGTAGCCCTGTCACTACATTTTTTTGCATGAACACTTTCCTGTGATGAATACAGAGCCCATAAAGTCTGTGTGACTGGTTTTTTGAGCAGAATAACTTACATACCTTGCGGAGATATCCTGCTTTCAATGCTAATGTTCAACTCTACAAATCTGCCTACCAACACAAGCTAGCTTTACAGATTTACTCTAGTTACAGGCTCCACCAACCCAATCACGAGGGTATCACAACCTAAAGACATATGAAAGCTCCAGAACTTGGGGGAAAAATAAACATTTAACTTAGCTGTTCATTGAAGCCTTCCAAAAAATGCCTTAACTGGAAAAAAAGATGGAACTGAAAAGCATCAAATCAGACTTTTAATTCCAGAAAACTGTTTTGATTATTTAGATCCATACAGATAGTCTTTTACTAAAAAGTTACAATATACAGTATCTGGCCTAAACAGTTGTTCTCACGAAACAGTAGCAGAAGGTAATCAAAGGAGGCTGATTTCTCATTTTCAGTTAAGAATTTAAACTTCACTGTCCTTGGATTAAAAGTTACACTATAGTGCAACTCCAGGAGGCAAAGGCATAAAATCATTGTGCCCAAAGAAACAAACATCAAATATCCCATGGGGCTTCTAAAACCTTGGAAAAAAATTTTTAAAAAAAAAGGAATTTGTGCTTGCTTTCACCACTGAGTAAGGACCAACCCATGCACTGGGCCACAGACAGCAACAGTGTATGTATTCCAACAGAAACAGTAAGCCAAAAATCTGGATAATCAGAAGAGTCATTATGCACTAATTCTCATTATTCACTAATTCACTAATTTTGAGGAAGTAGCAATAGTACCCAAAACATTCAAATAAGCTACAGGAAGCATCAGAGATCTGCAAACACTAAGGCAGTGAAAGAGTCACACTACCTGTGCTTGAGCGGGCGCAAGCTCTCCTTTTGCTAATGGCAGAACTTCTACAGATCACTGACGGACATAATTGGATTTATGATTTCTCCAATAATTTTAACATATGCTAAATTACAGGATAAAGCTTCCACTTTAAGACAGCCAGATTTAAATTGAACTGTATGATGCTCACAGAGTTCAAGAGCCTTGTAATAAAAATTCATGTGCAAAAATCTAAGTTAAAAACCATTTACTATAAAAAACTTTTAGAAACTACTGTATCTAGAATTTTCCCTCAATTGTAGTAATTCTAATCATTCACTTGGCACACAGCCGACATTGCAGTACCACTTCAACATGCAATAAATAAACAGAAAGAGAGCAATGGAAAAAAAAAAAATCACCTGCAATGCTGTCAACAAATCACCACCACAGAGTAAATGAATGAGACATCCTAATTCATCAGTTTTACCTTACGGTACTGTTATGAATACAGACGACAGCAGTAATTAAATACAAGAAAGAAGCTTCGCCTTTGCAATACTCTTGATTTTTTGCCCATGTGCATGGGCCAAATTCAACTCCTTATCTAGTAAGATTTTTGAGGAAATTGAACATATCCTTTCCAATCATCGCATTTCTAGACTGAAACAAACAAGACCCTTACCAGGAATGATCATGAATAAGAGCCTGGGGAGATTTTTACTTTCATCTTTTGAGAGGTCTTTCCAGGGCCCACACTTCAAGACATGGGTAGCAGCTCCACAACAGTAGATAAATTCTTCATGTAATGGGACTGGCTCTTCCG